TTTCTGCAATTAATCATGACTATAAGTATAGTTATGAACATATTAAAAATATGATCATCTTTGAGGTAGCTGATAATTGACTTGTATGTTTTAATTATGTGTAACAGTTTATAATAAGTTAATACATATTCTATAAGATTAGGACTTGCAGCTTTATCCCTGTTAAGTTAATTCTTAAAGTTTGAGTTGAGTGTTTAATTGGAGATCTTTTAACATGAAAACAAACCATAAACCATAAATGTAGTGAAGTTTTGTCATTACAGAATATACAGAATATTATAATTTCTGTGTGATTAAGTTTAAACTGAAGGTGGTGTCAGGACAGGAAAAGGGTTATGCAGCAGCAGCAGCAAGGGCCTTGGCCAGGGAGTTGGTAGCTTACTTGCTTCTCAACAGTGGAGAATTTTTTTTTTAATTTTTTTTTATTTTTTCTTTTCTTTTTTTTTTTTGCTGTTGTTGTTTTTTTAACAGTGGAGAATATGACTTTAGGAAGGGAGGGGGAGCTGTGTCAGGCTGAAAGAGGGGGCTTTTCAGAGTGAGGGAGGGGCTATTGGACCCTTGCAGGTAGAACATGCAGCTGAGGAGGAAGGCTGAGGGGGTTGTAGGGTAGGTGGGAGTGGGGGGTAGTGTCGGTGTGTAAGGGGGTGTCAGTCACAGTAGCCCTACACCCACCTAAGGAGGTTGCAGACCTTCTAGAACAGAAGGGAGTATCGGTTGTCAAGGTATGCTCACACTGATGTCCTCTGGACAGGACAGGCTGGAGAGTGCACAGTGAGCGGGGCTGACGTGGGAGAGGGTGTGGCCCAGTGGGGCCATTGCAATGTTACCAGAGCCCAGTTGGGCTGGAAAGAAGAGGGGACCATTGAGCACCTGCGGGTGGTGGGAAATGTAGTGGTCGCTGCTGAGGGGAGTAACCCTGTGAAGCTCTGGCTTGGGAGGGTTCTGCAGCACCCTGGGCTGAGGTGAGGAAGAGGGGCAGTAGGGGAGGAGGAGATGGGAGTCAAGAACATACAGTTTGGTCTGTCTGGCCTTGGTGAAACCCAAGTGGATGGAGAAGTGGGGAGGGTGTCAGACAAAGGTAAGAAAGGCACCTATGAGGGGGAGGGTGGATGGTGGTAAATCTTCTAAGTCACAGACAGAGTTTCAGTTTTAGGAGCAGAAGAGTCAGGGAGGGGCAGAGTACTTGAGAGCAAAGAGGCCTTAGGGTGGTGAGCAGGAAGCTTACCGGGAGGGTATGGAGCAGGGAAAGTGAAAAACAGAGACATAAAGGATCTCTTTCCATTTTCCTGTGTGCTCATAAAATCTGTAAAGATCCTGAGTAATGTCAGGATCCCAAAGCTGTTAGGTGGACTTTTAGACTGATTATCTAGTGGATGTGGAGACCAAGCCTGGGTACTGCAGCAAATGAGCTTAGGAAATTTGGTGTCTGAGTGTTGTAGCCATTGGAGATTCTGGAGGAGACATGCTGAAGTCAAGTCACTCAGTATGGAGGAGTTGGGGCCTGACACCCTTGGTGGTAGTGGGTCAAAGTGAAGATACCAGGTGTCCCTGTGAATCTCGAGAGGCCAAGGAGCAGTCTCGTAGAGAGGGTGGGTTGTCACCCAGGCAACATCACCAAGGCCGTGTCCAACGTGGTCTGAGGATGAATCAGCCATCTCTTGACAGTTTGTTTTGGAGGAGGAAAGGGCACCAGATTCAGGCAGCACAACCCCTAACAGGAAAAGGAGGAAGCCCCTACCTAACCGGACTGGACTGAATGTGCCTAGCTAGCAGCTAGTCCATGGGAGTTCACTGTAAACAGTGAAGTTCATGGTGGGGTGCAGTCTTCCTCAGTCCCACAGGACACAGTGGGGACACTAGACTCTGGATGGCTGTCACCCAATAACATGGTGACTGTTTAGGATGGCCAGGTGGGAGACTTCCAATCAGGTGCTATTGGATGCGGGAACTGGGTGCCAGAAGGATTGGAATATGCAAAAAAGGGCTGGGAAATTACCGGCCCATCCGAGTCTCAGCACCATTGAGGGAGACCCCCTAAGAGTGAGGGCTGCTTCTTGGACCCCATAATCGGCACAAACCACACCCACACACTTATTTTCACAGAGATCCTTTATGAAGTGAGGGAGGGTTAAAGTGACTGCTTTCTGACTCAGGGCGAAAAACAGCAGCAAATGACCATGAAGGTGTAATTTTTACGAAATGAAAAAGGGGATGTCTGTGTTACAATGGGCTAGGATGCTGTGTTGTATTTTGAGTGGACATGTGAATTAGATGCGCCAAAGAAGGTTGTTGGTTATCAGACTTCAATGCTTTGGTAACTGGACCTTAGTAACCAGCCTCGGGAGGAGGAAGTGGCCAATTAAGTGAGTAGATCATGGTGGCCAGCTTTAGGGATGCAATCTAATGATTTTTGGTAGGGCAGAGGGAATGGGAGAAAAGGGCAAAGCCTTCCAGAGCCCATGCTAGAGTGGGCTCGAGTCCCTTCAGTTAGTGTGCAGCTACAAGTACTGGGCCATCAGTTACACACAAACACACATAGCTGTAGGCTGACCCCTATACAGACACACAGAGAGACACACATGCAAACACATCCACAAGCATAGATGCATCAGGCACAGGGCATTGTACCTGTTGTTGTCCCAGAATGATGGTCTTTGTCTTCTACAATTTCCTCTGTAACTAAAGAAAGGACCCCGAGCTCCTCTCAGAGACAGTGGAGGTGTCTTAGCTCTGAGGTGAGCAGATTTGGCTTTTTGCAGACTCTGTTCCCACATGTGACCTTGACTCCCTCTTTCCTTGCTGGTCTCACTGTGAGATCAAGGCTCTAAAGGAATAAACTTCCCGGTATCCTGTTACCCAGGGACAAAGGTGACTGCTCTCCTCTCTCCCCTCCTCAGCTCACAATACACTGGCACAGAAATAGGAGTCAGGGCTTCCGGATGCTGAAGTCAGCTGCTCTGCCCCAGTTCTCCAACTCCTAGAATTGTGCTGTGACTCCCACAGTGAAACCAAGGAGGAGTTTATGGTCAGGGCATAGGCAGGACACCAGTAAGACTGTGACAGGATGTGTATGGTAGGGAGAAGGGATGGCTGTGTCTCCAGACAATCAGAGACAGAGCCTCCAGACAGTAGCATCAGCCTCTCTCCCACAGCCTCGGCTCACCCTGCCATTCTAACCTGTCAGGGGAATAAATAAACCCAACTCTGGGGACTGAAATGCCACAGTCTGAGCAGGCAGATGTTTGCTGATGGTACTGATGTGTACTTGTAATGTACTTTCCTGTAAACAGGACCAAGCGGCTCCCACGCTCAAAGATAGACTTCACTAGGGAAAGGCCATGCCACCTACTGATAGATCCCTTCTGCTACATGGCACAACGGCTGATCTGTGATCAAAAGTATTGAAGCACATTGAAATATATGTATATATTTAGATAAACTTTTTTTTTCAAGGCAGGGCTTCTCTGTGTGACTGGCTGTCCTGGAACTCACTCTGTAGATTGGGCTGGCCTTGAACACACATAGATCTGCTTATTTCTGCCTCCCGAGTGCTGGAATTAAAGGTGTACGCCACCACTGCCTGGATAATATACATATCACATTTATGTAAAGGCTGGAATGAAAAAATAAGGATTATAATGGGAATGAGGAGATAAATTTTGCATGGGGACCTGACCAGGTCTTACCACCCAGATGCACTAACCATTAGTAGAGTGAGCTGAAGCCGTATTTAGATGACACAAATTCTGAGTGAGGAGACACATTGGACAAACTTCTATATTGTGAATTACATCAGACAGTCTTTGAAGAAGATCCTACATCACCAAAGAAGAGAGGCTTCTTGCTCCAGGCTGTTTGGATACAAATTACAGCATCAATTTCTCCACGCATGTCTGGGTTTTCAGAAAAAGAATGAGCCATGGATACAAGAGTATTATGTTTGGAATCTGAAATGAGTTCCACAGGCTCCTGTATTTCACGCTGCGGATCCTGGGGCGGGGCTGTTAGTGGGTCTGGCGCCCAGGACTGTGAATTCCCTGCCTCGTGTCCTCTAGCTCTGTCTGCTTCTTCTCTGTCGTCTCCCAGATGACCTTCTGCTTGGATGGACCCCACCGCTTCTGTCACCTGCCACCCCTGGAAAGTAACCTGCAGTTCTCTGACTCTGGGACAAAGCAGACCTCCCTCCCTCCATCCTGTTGTTCTGTCAGGTGTGTGGGTCACCACACACAGAAGTCACTAATGTCAGTGTGGGGTGGACATGGACAGAGCTGTCAGAGGACACGGGCCTTGACCATTGCCTCTGGTTTTCTGTAGGATTCCAACACTGACCTAACATGTGCTTTATTTTTTGCCCCTGGGATGCCATGCCTGCATCTCTCCTCTTCTGGTTGGGAAGCTATCAATTCAGAAATTCCACAGGGGGCTTTAACCAAGAGTCCAGTCAGGTGTCTATGCGAGTTTCTTCTCTGTGGCTGTGACAAAATATCCTGCAAAGCAATGTAAGGCAGCCAGGCAGTCTCTCAGCTCACAGTTCAAGGTTGCAATGCCCTCAGTGGAGAGGTCCCAATGCTACAGGACTGAGACAGCTGGGCCTCTTGCAAGCACAGTCAGGGGTAGAAAGAATTCATGTTCAACTACCCTTACCCGCTTTATGCAGTCCAGAATCCCATGCCCTGGGACGAGGGTCCTGCATCACATTAAGGTGGTCCTTTGATCTCACTGATATATAACATAAAGAAATAAAATCAACTAATCCAGATAATCTCTCATTGGGATTCTCAGAGAGCCATCTCACACTCGGTTCTAAGTTCTGTCAGACTACCAGAAAATTCATAATAGACACAAATGGTCAACAGGGTGGTGGGACGAACAAGTTGTCAACAGCTCTATATCCTGGCCATGTTGAAATGAGAACAAGAACCAACAGTGGCTCTGCGACTTTTGAGAAAAGCAGTCGAGCAGATTTTTTAAATTTATTTTATTTATTTTTATGAGTGAAATTACAGCAAGGAGAGCCAGTTTATGAGTAAAGCTTCAATTGTTAATCACCTTGGGTGAATTTCAGTTCACTCTGATTTGCCAGTGCAGGATAGGAAATAGATATTCTTATTTGCGTGGACCAAGAGGATCTATACAAATGTTTATTCTTCTGTTTTTACCAAGTTTTGCTAATAATAACAGTTTCAATCTGTCATGTGACTCTTGTGCGGGGCTCACACTTCTTACTGAGGTGTATTTATCTACACAGTGTTGGTCATCAGATGCCCTCAAGGAAAAGTGACAAAGCAGAAATGGCTGTGAGAATGCAGAACTGTGTGGAGACTTTCACAGGGGTAAAGGATCCAGGAGTCATTAGACCATAAAATCAGGAATCAAATCAATATTTTCATGTGTGCTTTACACACTATTTTAAAGAGAACGAGGTTTCCTCCTGCATTTACACAGTGTTGATGACTGTTTCCTACTAAAGTATAACTGAGCTCTTGCCACAGTGATCTTCTGTCTCCAGGGAAGAAAAAGAGGAGGAGCCTACTGAGCTCCACAGACAAGATTCGTTTGTCAGGCATAGGTTATGTCAGTGTCCAAAGCAAGGCCAAGAGGAAACAATGATTGGAACTTTTGCCTCATTTCCCCGTCATTCCCAGTAATCGGGGGGCTTAGAGACATATGGTCCCACCTTGTTTTCTAAAAGACTTTTCTTATTGAGAAGAGCAATGGCATCATTTGCTGCAGCATCAATAAAGAGATTCTGCAAATAGTAAGACTTTTTGTAATATATGACAGCAGAACCTGGACCACCAACAACTGAGGAAATTCTTTGGATATAGTTCCATAGTTTTCTCCCTAAGGACACATCGTCATCTTCTGCAAACAAATGGGGAAAACGAAGGTGTACCTTGAATGCATCCACAGACAGGTTAAAATCTTTCGCAATCTCTTCCAATGAGGCATCATCCAGCCCAAAGTAAGACCTGAAGAGATTGAATGTTTCATCCAGATCCTCTAACTGATCCCTGATCATGCCAACAAGTGGAATGGTGGCCAATGCTCCAGCCTTCAGGGCCTCTAGGTAAACTTTCTGCTTCAGGGAATCTCTCTTGAGGTTAATGGTGGCCTCAGTAACACTGCTCAAGGACAGCATGAAGATGTGGCGCTTGTGGGCTGGGAGATCATATAGGAGTTTGCTTTCCAGTTTTGGGAAGTCATACTTAGATGTATCAAAGTTAGAGACTAAGAAGACTGGAGGCTCACTGGAGAGAGCCTCCTGGAGATGACGTGAACAGTCTTCTAGAATATTCTTCCGGACATTCTCCTCATTGAAAGTCTTAGGTTTGCTCGTCTTTTCATTATATATGTCGCTATCTATCTTGGCTCGGACAAAGTAGAAATTCATGTCCATCCTTTTAATGGCTTTAGCTAGTTGGGCATCATTTTCTTTGAAGCGTGAAGCAGAGATGATAATGAAGAAGTCATATTCACCAAACTTCATTTTTCTTAGGTACTTCTCTGGTGGAAAGGAAGTGGACCCAATGCCAGGCAGGTCCCATACTGTAACCTGGGGAAGCTTTGGGTGTCGGTAGGGAGTTCTCTCCATGGTGGTTTCTGTTGCCCCAGTGCAGGCTGCACCTTCTTCTTCATGCCCCACCCCTCTCAGGGCATTGATGAACGAGGACTTCCCTGACCCTGTCTCCCCTGTCACAGCAATGTTCAGGGAGGCCTTCTCGATGTTTCTCAGTTCACTGCAGATTATAGAAAGTGCTTCCTGGAGGTTCCTGTTCTCAATGTGGGATTTAACCAAGGTAATGGTTTCTTCAGAGAGGATTTTGCTTTCCCTCTTAAAATTATTAAGGAATTCATCGATGCTGGAGGCCCAAGCCATGACTCTGTAGGGTAGAGGCTGAATGGAGCTGAGAGGAGAGCAATGGTGATCATTAATTAAAGCAGGGCAAAGCCTTGGTGTTTGCTGGTTCAGTGAAGCAGGGCCCTGACCCTGACCCCCATCAGATCTGGCATGCCTGTCTTCTTTTCTCTTGGTTGCTGCTTTGGTTGCTGCTACAATTGCTGCCCTGGAAATGAAGAAGCCTCTTGCTTACACTCCTAGGAATTATCTTGTACTTCTTTGTCTAATTCAATCTCCACTTACTCTATGTAGTTTCCCACTGCAGCCTTTATTATCAATTTGAAATTCCATTTTAATGCCTTTATTTTCATTAAAATGATACCCATACATGGTATCAATGCTAAAAGGGCATGAAAGAAGTAACATTTCTCCTGGCTGGGTCCTCAACCTTTTGTGAACCCTTTACTGAATTGCCTGTGGGACCTCAAGGCTTCTGGTCTCTTTGGATGGTTATTCTAAAATGAGTACATGACACTAGACAAGGGATGGGAAAGGCTGAATTGAAAAGAAATGTCCAACTAACTGTGATTTTGCTTTCTTCTCTCAGCAAAGGTGAGACGTGACGTCCCTGGTTGAGAGACTCCTAAGTGAGGTACTCTGCTCCCTGGTGTTCAGATGCTCAGTTGGGTACGTCACTGTGCTGTGTTCTCTGGAGTGACTATGTCAGAAATCAAGATAACTGAGAATCAGAGCTTCCACACCAGGCACTGAGAGGGACATCCTGGAGAGCTCTGACAAGCATTCTGCATAATGCTGACAGATTTGTAAGGTCATAACATTTCTCAAAACCATGCTGTCTCAAAGGCTCCAGAAAACACCAGGATTAACTTGGGGAAAGAGTGAGAACTATAGAAAAAGATGACTTTTGGAATCCTCTGATGTCATTTTTACTTAATTATACATATACACATGCTGTCTCTCTCTGTGTGGGGGGGTATTTGTATATTTAATACACTTTAAATGATGTTATGCCATTGGCTGATAATGCCTCCCCTCTGAGTCATAGAGTAAAAGAAACATCATTGTCAGACATGAGAAACTTCTCTCGAGTTGTGGGTCAGGGGAGTTCAGGATACTCCTCAAACAGCTCCTGCTGTTGCCCTTGCTCGAGCCCCAGAATTTGAAGGGCGCTGTGCTGAAGACACAGCACACTTCAGATAAAGGATGCATAGAAATCAAGGTGCATTGGAGCCAAAGTCTCCTCCCCAAGGCCCTGCTTCCCTAACATCAGAAGGAACTGTGAAAGTTTCAAGTGAGGAGAACATTCTGGAATCCTGCCCAGCTGGGACTCCCATGAACCATGGTGATGATCATCACACTGAGGTAGCTGAAGGTGCAGGGTGGCATTTGTGTGTTGGTGATGACCCACCCCTTCCTAATTGTGCATCACGCTGGCTGAACAAAAGGAAAACGGTGCCTGGTAACTAAAAACCTAAGCAACCACCGTGTGCTGCTAGTGAGGTCACAGATCTCAGAGGAGAATCCACTGTGGCCACTTTCCTATCCCAGAATATTCCTAACTGCTTTCTAAACCCTTTTCTTTATACCCACAGGTACACGGAGCTCTCTCTAACCACCAAAGATGCTTCTTTTCACAGCAGTGAGAGATCATTTCAGAAAGCCACAGCTGGTCAAAAAGCAGAGAACAACTGACTTTGCAGTGCCCAGTCTCAGTTGATAACATAAGCCTTAAGCTAAGAGAGAGAAAACACTGAGGAAGAAGGTGCATAAGACACAAGAATAAGAAGATCACACAGTCCGCTGCAAAGCTGAGTCTTCTGGATATGACGAAGATACCCATGAAACCTCAACACTGTGGCCTTTTAAAAAACACCTGAGCACTGACACCAACAGTTGACGTGCCACAGTGGGTGTGGGAAATTGTGTGGGTTGTCACACTTAGGTGAAGAGTCACAAGTGGTAAAAAGCTGCAGAGAGGCAGAAGTAGTCTCTCCCAGAGAGGAGCTCCCTAGTTGATCATTCACTTCCAAATGTTCAGCCCTAATTCCTATCTGTCTGTCTGTCTATCTGACTCTATCTATCTATCTATCTATCTATCTATCTATCTATCTATCATCTACCTGTATATCTATCTATACAAGCTGTACTAAAAGTGACAGGTTGAGCTATGTATTTATTTGTTAAGAGATTTGTCAGAGAAATAAAGAGAGAGCACACATCTGAAAGGGAATATAAGGTCTGGAAGAGACTGCAGGGATGAGAGGGAGAAGGATGCTCTTATATTGTAATAAACAAAAGGACCCTTGCTTCGTGGTAAACATTTAAATTAAATAAAATTAAAAATTAAAAAGAAAGACTACTGTTAGAGGCAAAGGCACTTGAGGGGACCATCCTCCAAAGAATGTAATTCACCATATCTATCTAAGGACAGTGCAGTGATGTTCCTAAGCCAGCCAGGGTTACATTGTAGGACATTGTCTCCAAACATTGATCAGAGCCTGCCTGACTAGCTTCCTGCTTCATGAGATTAACACTTACAAGTTAGTGCTGGTGGCTGTCAACCGTCCTGCATACCCACTACCTACCCCATGAGGGGTTTCTCTGTGCCTCAGAGACTTCAGATCCCACAAATCCAGTGCCAGACAGGCCCCTTGCCCACCCACTGCCTGGCCTGTCAGACTTGCCAGCTGTCTATCCACCCAAGGGATGTCAGCATTCCCACATTTGAGTCTTAGACATCCAAGTTCACCTGACCCCTGTTGACCACCCCATGTATCAGAGCCTTCAAAGCCCACCCAACTGCTTCCTATTATGAAATAAGTAAGGTAGTAAATATATACAAAAGAAAATCCAACCAGTGATCTAAGCATATACGGACACAAAAACTTGGTTATATGAAAACCCAAGACAGCTCATCTCCTCTAGAAAATACAAACTCCAGAGTTACGGTGTTCATGAGAATGACTTAGATAAAGTTTCAGATGAAGAATTCACAGTAATGGTGTAAATGTGATCAAAGAAAAAAGATTTAAGCAATCATTTGAATTAAAGACAAGTCAACACAGGGCATGAAAATGATTTCGATAATGACAAATACTGAACAAAATCTTGACTTAAATGAAGCTGGAGATGAAAAATGCTTTAAAGCAAATGCTCAGAGCAAAGACTTAGCATCAGAGTGGATCATATAGAGGAGAGAATATCAGAAATTGAAGAACTATGTAGACAAATGGGAAGACTTGGTCAGGGAAGACTATAAAAATTGAAAACCCATGAGCAGAACATGTATGACCTTTGGAACACCATGAAACACATCGGCAGAGAAGGAGCAGAACTCCATTCCAGCAGCATAGAAAATATTCTCAACCAATCCTAGCAAGAATGTCTTCAAATTTAGGGAGAGGAATGCTCATCCAGACAGATACAAAGGCATATAGATCTCCAGATACAAAGGGTGGAAAAAGAAACTCCCGAAGTCATATCACAGTTAAACCCAAGTGGTCTGCAAACTACCAGAGAGAACCAGCGGGAAGTGTAAAGATGGAGCCATCAGAGTAACAACTGACTGACAGCAGCAGATTCTTGAAAGCCAGGGGGTCAACAGCTCTGCCAGACACTGTGGATGTGGATTTCTCATCTGGGATTTTATCTCCATGGGGTACCACATAGACTCCAAGAGCATCTGGGTATCCTAGCCTGCTGTCTTCCTCCAAGCTCGACTACTTCAGAAGACCAGCTAGGTCCACACAAGCAGGGAGAAGGAAGGGCTGCTGCTTCTCTGCTTTGGGATGCTTGTGGCACAGAAGATGGCACAGAAGGATGCTACTGTGCCTGCTCCCTGAGTGAAATCCCCAAGCCCTCCTGCCCCGGAGTCAGTGCTCCCCTCCTCATGTTATCACACACGTAGGGTCTATTGGGCAAGCTGAAGTTAGAACCCTTCACTCACCTCAGCAGCGGTGACCTTGGTCTGAGGGCAGTGGCACCTCTGGGAAAGCTCTCTTCTTAGGAGAAGTCTGTGCACTGCAGCAAGGGCAGTTGCCTTGGAACGCTCTAGAACTGGAATTCAGACTCAAGATGTTCAGGAAGAAAAAGAGGTCAGGTGTGGTTTTCTGTGTCCTGAGAAGAACTGAATAAAGAAAGGAAGAACACAGGGATGAACAGCCAGATCTTCCCCAAGTTACCTCACCGTACCCAGATCTTCCCCAAGCTACCTCCTGGTCCACACACAGCCCTTGCTGTCTACAATTTCCTGGTTAGGTATGAACTCTGGTTATACAAACCACCCTCAAGGAAAGGGCTGCACTCAGAGTTGGTTTCAGTTTCCATTCCTTGAAGTGGGTGGTTTGCATGAAACAATAAGGTGGACCTTTAGAGAAGGTGGCAGATCAATCAAGCTGTTTTAGGTTGGACTTACTAAGCCTGTGGTGTGGCCATTATAGCAGAGTTAGTGGTAGAGATTCCCATTGGAGATTGGTAGCTCAGGTGTGGGCACCTATTGGGGAAGCTATCTTTCTGCTGTGGGTCCCAGGTCATTTAGAGATTTACCAGTCTGACTTAACACTTGGGTTTTAATAAATTAGAGAAATGCACGGGTCAGGAAGAAACCAGAGAGAGTTCTCTAGGTAAGGCCCTGGCTATTGTTAGGAAAAGGATTATAAAGGAAAAACCCCACAAAGTTATAATTTTGGGGAGCCAAATTATCTCATATACTGTCTGGGTGTGGGCAAAGCTTGATCTTGGAACAGACATCCTGCAGATGTTTCAGCCATCCATCCAAGCAAGAGTCTCAGACAAAAGCAGAACTTAGCAGTTAGCCTGTTCAATCTGTGACCCACTACCTTGGTTTGTTTTATTGATTTTTATTGAGCTCTACTTTTTTCTCTGCTCCCCTTGCGGCCTCTTTGCTCCCTTTTAAACCTCCTCCAAGGTCCCCATACTCCAAATATACTCAGGAGAGCTTGTCTCTTTCTACATACCATGTAGATTCGATTTTGTATGTCTCTCTTAGGGTCCTCATTGTTGCCTAAGTTCTCTGGGATTGTGATTTGTAGGCTGGTTTTCTTTGGTTTTTGTTTTTGTTTATGATTAAAAACCACTTATGAGTGAGTACATGTGATAATTGTTTTTCTGTGTCTGGGTTACCTCACTCAATATGTTTTCTAGATCCATCTATTTTCCTGCAAAATTCAAGATGTTGTTATTTTTTTCTTCTGTGTAGTACTCCACTGTGTAAATAAATGTACCACATTTTCCTTATCCATTCTTTGATTGAGCAGCATTTAGGTTGTTTCCATATTCTGGCTATGACAAACAATGCTGCTATGAACATCGTTGAGCACATGTTCTTGTGGCATGATTGAGCATCCTTTAGTATATCCTTTGGTATATTTGGGTATATATTACCCAAAAGTGGTATTACTGGGTCTTGAAGAAGGTTGTTTCCTAATTTTCTGAGAAATAGTGACACTGACATCCAAAGAGTCTGTATCAGTTTGCATTCCCACCAACAATGCAGAAGTGTTCTCTTTTCCCCATAACCTCTCCATCACAAGTTTTCATCAGTGTTTTGACCTTGGCCATTCTTACAGGTGTAAGATGAAATCTCAGTGTTGTTTTGATTTGCATTTCTCTGATGACTAAGGATGTGGAACATTTCCTTAAGTGTCTTTCAGCCATTTTAGATTCCTCTGTTGAGAGTTCTCTGTTTAGGTCTGTACTGCAACTTTTTATTAGATTATTTGTTCTTTTGATGACCAATTTCTTGATTTTTTTGTATATTTTGGAGATTAGACCTCTGTCTGATTTGGGGTTAGTGAAGATCTTTTCCCCCTTTCTCTTCTATAGAGTTAAGTATGGCAGGCTTTATGATGAGGTCTTTGATCTATTTGGACTTGAGTTTTGTGCATGGTGATAGATATGGGTCTACTTTCATTCTTCTACATGCTAATATCCAGTTATGCCAGCACCATTTGTTAAATATTTTTTTCCATTTGATATTTTTTGCTTCTTTGTCAAAAATCAGATGTTCAAAGGTGTGTGGATTAATATTCGGGTCTTCGATTCAGTTCCACTGGTTCTCCTGTCTGTTCTTATGCCAGTACCAGGCTATTTTCAATGCTGTAGCTCTGTAGTAGACTTTGAAGTCAGGGATTGTGATGCCTCCAGAAGTTCTTTTACAGGATTGTTTTGGCTACTTTTTCATATGAAGTTGAGTACCAAGGTCTTTGAAGTATTTTGCTGGGATTTTAAAGGGCATTGAATCTGTAGATTGCTTTTGGTAAGATTGCCATTTTTACTATGATAATTCTATCTACCCAAGAGCATGGAAGATCTTGCCACTTCTTCTTCAATTTCTTTCTTCAAAGATTTAAAGTTATTTCATACAGCTTTTTTACTTGTTTGGTTAGATTTACTCTGCGATATTTTATGCTATTTGTGGCTATTGTGAAGGGTGTTGTTTATCTGATTTCTTTCCCAACCCTTTTATCATCTGTGTACAAGGGAGGGGGGGCATTGACTTTTTTGAGTTGATCTTGTATCCTGCTGCATTACTGAAAGTGTTTATGAGTGTAGAAGTTCCTTGGTAGAATTTTTGGGATCACCTATGTAAACTATCATATCATCAGCCAACAGTGACAGTTTGACTTCTTCATTTCTGATTTGAATCCCCTTGATCTCCTTTTGCTGCCTTATTGTTCTAGCTAGGACCCCAAGAACTATATTGAATAGATATCGAGAGAGTGGACAACCTTGTCTTGTTCCTGGTGGAATTTTTGGGAGTTTCAATCCCTTTAGTTTGATGTTGGCTGCTGGCTTACTGTATATTGTCTTTGTTATGTTTAGGTATGTTCTTTGTATCCCTGCTCTCCCCAAACCTTAATCATGAAGGGATGTTGTAGTTTTTTTAAAGCTTTTTCGGCGTCTAATGAGATGAACATGTGGTTTTTATTTTTCAGTTTATTTATATGGTAGATTACGTTGACAGATTTTCATATGTTGAACCATCCCTGCATCTCTGGGATGAAGCCAACTTGATCATGGTGGATGATTTTTCTGATGTGTTCTTGGATTCGATTTGCCAGTATTTTATTTAGTATTTTTGCATCAATGGTCATGATTAAGATTGGTCTGTAATTCTCTTTCTTTGTAATGTTTTTCTTTGGTTTGGGTATCAGAGTAATTGTAGCCTCATAAAAAGAGTTTGGCAATGTTCCTTCTGTTTCTACTGTGTGGAACAATTTGAGGAGTATGGTATTAGTTCTTTCTTGAAAATCTTGGAAAATTCTGAGCTGACACCATCTGGTCCTGGGCTTTTTTGGTTGGGAGAATTTTTATGATTGTTTCTGTTTCTTTAGCAGTTAGCTCTATTTAATTTTCTTATCTGCTCATGATTTAATTTTGGTAAGTGGTATTTATTCAGAAAGTTTTCCATTTTCTTTAAGTTTTCCAATTTTTTGGAGTACAAGTTTTTGAAATATGACCTGATGATCCTCTGTATTTTCTCCAAGTCTGTTGTTGTGTCCCCCTTTTCATTTCTGATTTTGTTAATTGGGATATTTTCTCTGCTCTTTGATTAATTTGGATAAAGTTTTTTCTATTTTCTTTCTGATTTTCTCTAGGAACCAACTCTTTGTCTCATTGATTCTTTGTATTGTTTTCTTTGTTTCCATTTTGTTGATTTCAGCTCTCAATTTGATTATTTCCCACTCTCTAGTTCTTCTGGGTTAGTTTGCTCCTTCTTGTTCTAAAGTTTTCAAATGTTCTGTTAATTCACAAGTGCTATGAACTTTCTTCTTAACACTGCTTTTATTGTGTCCCATGAAGTTGGGTATGTTGTGTGATCATTTTCAATAAATTTTAGAAAGTCTTTAATTTCTTCCATTATTTCTTCCTTGACCCATTGATGATTCAGGTGGGCATTGTTCAATTTCCATGCAAATCACTTTTTCAAAAAAGAATAACTTAACAGCTCCAGAAAGTGTTTGAATTGTAGCCACCCTAGAGGATACATTCAAGGTAGGAGCAACTGCCAAGTTAAAGCCTTTCTTTTTTTTTTTTTTTGTTTAAGAAAAATGAGAATTGATGTAGGTGCTGCTTTCTATGTGTTGCATTGGTTAATTAATAAAGAAACTGCCTTGGCCCTGATAGGACAGAAAATTAGGTAGGCAGAGAAAACAGAACAGAATGCTGGGAGAAAGAAGCCGAGTCAGGCAGTCGCCATGATTCTTCTACTCCAGACAAATGTAGGTTAAAATCTTTCCTGGTAAGCCTCCTTGTGGTGTTACACAGATTATTAGAAATGGGTTACTCGAGATGTGAGAATTAGCCAATAAGAGGCTGGAACTAATGGGCCAGGCAGTGTTTAAAAGAATACAGTTTCCGTGTAATTATTTCAAGTAAAGCTAGCTGGGTGGTGGGAAGCAGCCCGCTGCTCCTACTTCTACACCTCAAGGCTTATACAAGCTAAAAACACTTTTATTTTTGCACGCTTAACATAGTAAATTCACGCTCCAAACACAATGTTCATCATCACACTTCAAACCTAGCAAGCCCTACCAGTTAGATGGCTACAGACCATCCTAAAGGCCTCTGTCACTGCCTTGCCCACTGTGTTTGCTGTCTCTATCTACTTGCTTGTTTGCTGTAATCTGACCTATCAACCGTCTTCAAACAAGAAAACAGGAGCAATGAAGGATGCCTGGTCAGAACCCTGACCCTGCACCATGTGTCTCAGTGTGGAAGTGTGACTGACGTAGGTGATAGGGGAGATCACAGTCTCCTAACAGCCTGGAGTCAGCTGAGCAGACAGCGAACTTCTGACTGCAATCAGAGACTGGGTGTTCTGGCCTTGTCATGGAAGCAGCAACAATCATGTGATGTTCCCAACAGGGAATGGAGGAGGATTTTCCAGGCAAGAGTGATGTGGTGAGCATGGGGCAGGAGCCATGTTCCTTTCATAATGTTAGGACAACTCTGCAATCATAGCCACTGTCCTCAAGGAGGAAACTGGCAAATTCCCCCTGACAGTGACGAGAAAAGTGGGACAGCAGAACAGAGCCTGTCCCACATTCAACTGGTGCACATTTCCTTCAGGTTTCAGTTCATGCTTTGGGAGACTAACA